GTGTGCAGAATACATACGAAGTACAGGCAGCTGAAGACTTATACGTACTTATACCAGTCCATACATTATGAAAATTGTACGCGCTTAGATAAAAATACACAACACATACTTCTCCATAAAACAATACTTGGCAGAGTCGGCTGTAACCCCACTCATTTTGTACATGTCCTATGTATTATTGTCTCTTTCGAACCATTATATGAAAGCATCTGCCGACTGGTGAGGTCGTGCAAGTGTAATCTGTGTGATATGTGTTAGGATTCATAGCTGTTTGCTCGTCCAAAAAGTAAACTTGTTATATAGGTCTCTCATCACTCCTACGCACTTTTTTTACCTTATTTTTTACATTTCTCTCTAGCAGAGAGTATTTATGTAGTCTCTACTTTAGAGAGGGACAAGGTCATGGTTTTTTGCAACCTTTTTTTGGGTTTCAGGGTTTGATAGGGTTGCACTGTATGCATGTAGCACATAAGAGCGCTGCGTGTGACTCGTTGAACTTTATTGTTCAGGCACTAGCAAACAACGAGGAACACCACACACATAATAATATTGTCTAGTCTTTCCCTTTTCAAATGTAGTGTACAACATCTAGCTATGACAACGTTTAGTCTTTCCCTTTTCAAATGTAGTGTACAACATCTAGCTATGACAACGTTTAGCTATGAAATAACTACTTTGGTTGTACTCGAATTAACCAAGACTTTGCATATAGCTGATAACAGCGTATTGGTTGATGAACATCTTTCGACAGTGAAATGTGTACAATATTCACATATTACGCCGATGTAACCCCCACATAGAATAAAACCATCACCCACTACATTTATGAAGTAACATAATAGTAAAAACGAATAAACCCTTCGCATACTTCATGGAATAACAATCTATAAAAATGTCCGAGCCTTATTTTTCTCCTATGGGAGGAGGACAATCATCCGCAGCAGATGCATGGGGTATGTCAGCGAAGCGTATTCGTCTGGAGACACACAAGTCATCATCTGACAAGTGGGGGCGAATAGAAGGTATATACTCATAAATATGTTGATTTTTATACTCTTATATGCATTCATCTGTGTATTATTATACCTAACATGCACGCGCAAAGGTGCGAGTTTACCAATACATGTGTATACGTGTGTTATGGATTGTAGTCTGCACGCACATAGAAGTGGTTCCGTAGATCCATGTATGCTTCCATCGTATTACTTATCTTGAGTTTCATATTATGTTCAGTTGTAACTCGATTCTGCGTTCAATGCGACTCTTATTTTAAATCATCAGTCGTACCATGTATATTTTCGTACGCTTACTGTGTAGTTGGTACTAATACTCTGATTGATCAATGTCTCATTCAACTTTACGATGAGTCTCGGGAGACTCGTATCCCAACACAATTGTGTCACCAGGAAGAAGCTTTAGAGCTTGCTTTAAAATTTTACATGGACGGATTGGGCTTTCTTGAGAATGAAATTATATACTATATACATTAACTGTATTTAAGTATTAGGAACACGTTAGACATACGCTAGTACCCTAGTTTGGTATTAAGCTGTGTATGTGGATTAAATCAATCAGAAGTGCCACCAGCGCTTCCCCTGTCAACTACGACAATCAAAGGGACAGACTACCTATGTCGACTGAATGACTACATGACAAGGAAGGGCAACAAAAACGCGCACAAGGTGGAATGGATAGACCGCGACAGCGGCGCACTGGGTAAGCAATCGATAGACGACGTACACGCCTATGTCACTAAACGAATAGATGTAGTCAAGGTATATCCTCAGGCATACTTCATGCCACGTTTTATATAGTAAAGATGTTTCGATGTAGTGGGCCGTCGTGCGTATGCTGACTGCTTTGGGTGTCCGATAGCTTGGTCAATGTACCAGTTCGCAAGCACAAGAAGAACGTGTATTGACATCCGAAAATGTATGTCAATAGGTGTATGCTATTGAATCTATGCCTACGTGTATCTGTATATGCAGTATTGAGAATTGATCATTTTCGGTGTTTGCATGTCTGTGTATGTAGCTTATGGCACACACGTATGAATCTGCGTCCCAATGTTCTCAATACAGGATTAGTCGTCATTACTCTGAGGATCGATAACGGGGCTATTCAAGCAAACGGTGAGGGGAAGACGAAAAAGTTGGCCAAACAGGCTGCAGGTATATGGGCATGCGAATTCTGGTTAGTACCGATAACGTAGTTGCATGTAGTAGCACGTAAATGGTGTTAGCGGAAGCAAGCTGCAGGTGTGTGTGTGTGTGTACATACTGGATTAAATCAGCGATTTTATTGTACGATGTAACATGTATTTTCTAGTGTACTGAGGTACAAAATATTCTCGCGCGGGTATCGGATTTAAGTAATGGTTTACAGGCGTAAATGATACAGGTATGTGATGATCTATACATGTTCAGCAAAGTGCATCGTATACTTTCATTAAATCTCTATACGTCCATGGTATCGATGTACGTATATGCCAGTGTGCAAGTTAACGGTAAACATATATAATCCTTCACGACATGCATCTTATGTTCATATCTATGAGGTTTTGCTGTGGGTCTACATACAATGTGTTTGTTTTTCCAAACACGTCTCATACCCTTACTCTTCGAGTGGTATTCGCTTTCCACTACAGCTCAGCAGGTGCTGATCCAGTTGCATAGCAACGACCCGGAACATGCACGTGACACCAACCTATCAACCAGCGGTGTGACGGTCTCACAAGCACAACATGATTCTAGGATAAACACTTATCAGGATGCTTTAACGGTATGAATGTATACTCGTTGTGCGTTTTAATTCTGCGTCGAAGGCTTACAATCGGACGCATTAGATTCATAAGCATGTACACTTTGCGGGTCATCATAGTGTAGCATATAAGGTGCTCATGAGAATACTCTTTATGACATGAATGTGTCCCGTTATGAGTTATTGTGTTATGTCTAGAATATGCGCATACTGACTCTCTAAAACCCTAACTGAATGTATACCCTAGTGTAATGTTTTATCATGCATGCATGTGCGATAGGGTTCTCTGAAGGTGCTGCTTGGTGATCTACCGGGGATGCGTGTGATGCGCATCTTTGCTTCGTGTGTAGCACGTGTGCTTTCATATTACAGTGGCCAGCTCGGTGTATGGTACTCGTTTCTTGTAAATAAATACGGAATAGCACATTGCGAACGGACCACAACTATTTCAATGTAAAGTTTTATCTTTCATGTGCTCGGCCTTGAGTCACCTAGCATGGATACAATAGTGGTTTGATCTAATTGAGACTTAGGAGTGACATGGGAACTGCTTGTCATGATATTTATATGAACCACTCAACCGCGCGAGTCGGTCCAGACAATCCAACTGGGCTGCTAGTTAATGTCCCTAATATACGACGTACATGCCCGCATTTCATAACCTGGAGGTATATCTATAGCTACTTGTCACGTACATGCCGACGACGTCCTTCATGCATGTACACGCGCAGAGACAGCACACCATACTGCGTAAGAATACCTGTGTACTGTCAAACTTTTCTTGTCAGTAGGGTAGGCAATACACACACAGGTCCACACGAATATGTGCACAATCAGTGAAGGCTTTCTGATCTGCCGTGTATCGCCATATATCTGCAATCAAGCATAGCCTTGTTTCATTTAGACGATTACGACGCAAGTACCCGAAGACAGGGACATCTTGTGTATGTCCTCGCACCTACAGACTTTTTATGCAACACGTATGTGCATTTGAATGGAGTAGAGACAAACAGATATACAATGCCTTAGATCTTAATATTGACGATTCCCACCGTAAATGACAGAATTAATCTAGTTATTTCAATTAATCACTTATATTCTCGTACTGACTGTGCGAGGCTTTTGTGTTGTCACACATATATCAGTCGCTACAACACATATTCTACTATAGGCAAGTGCTGGAAAGGCTGTACTTGTTAGAACCTCGCTTCCTCTGTTATTCACAAAGTCATACCTATAAACGTACCTGTACTTCACACAATCTCGATTAGTGCTTCTGTGCATGTTGATTGGCTTATTTACAACATTTCCTTCCTGAACGAGAAGTATCTCATTAAGCGAGAACAGTGTGACAATGAGCACACTCACCGAATAGAGACGTACACAACAGGCATGCTTTGATTATGGTCCTTGATGAGAGGTAGTACGAGTTTCAGAAATATCACACGTTCACCAACAATTAATTACGAAGTATCAGTCAGTTTGCGTATGGGGCATACTTACAAGGATTGTATTTGCAACACGCATGATTTTGTGGATGCAGATGCTGAAGGGGCTGGACTCCTCGGACCCTCGCGTTGTAGACGTTATCCATCCCGATCTGCCTGATACCGCGACTTTACTACGCCTGTATGAGAAAAAGTACGTAAGTACGTTTTGAAATACTATTGTATCGGGTATTTGTGTTGATTGATTGTATTGAGCCGCAAATTTCTCTTCTTATGTGTCGCTGCTGCGTCTGCATGAGGAAGGTACCACGCATACATGTATTTGTACGTAAGCAATTATACTTACTCCACACACACACACACACACACACACACACATATATATATATATATATGTATATATATATATATATATATATATATATTACGTATATTGCGAGGCTCGTTACTCACCCTTCTTACCATCCTGTTTAAGATGTGATCTACAACTGCTTCGCTTGTTTATAATAATGCATCCGTACGTGCTGTATCAGAAATCATCTGTTATTATGTTCATAAACCCATTCATAGAAATCATTCCTCTCTCTCCGAGAAAAGCTTAAAGCTATGATCATTGGTGCGTCTAATTCAACGTTGTTCTGTTCGGCTGTCTAGGACCAAGCGCCAACCTGCTAAATTGGAGGTTAAAATATCGCGACGTCCAAAGAAGTGTGGCACAGAGGAGTATATAGATCCAGGTTTACTCTTCAACTTCCAAGTAACATATAACGACTTCAGCGGAGATGTATGTAAGCGATGCAGTAAACATGGGTGCGATCACCTGTAGTACATATACTAGCGAACAAGTTATGGATAGACATACGATTATGCCTATTCAGTTGTCTGGCTCATATTATGCAATTCCCCGTTTAAGTAATTTATGTCGCTGATTCCAGTTTATCTTTCGTCTGTGAGCTTTTTAGTAGTGTATTTCGTACTTGTGTAGCCCACCGAGTCGACTTCTCAATGTTAAACACGGGTGTGTGTGATTGTTCGATGCACGTGTTTATACATAACGATTGTGTAGAACTTTCACACATATGTCCGTAAATAACAACACGCACTAGACCCTTTTTTTCTCGCTAATTGTCCGTAACAACAATTAGGGCCGGTGTCGAAGTAAGCAACACGCCAAAATGCTCGCAGCACAGTTGGTGATAAGACACCTCTTACCCAACTGTCTCACATGGGCGAATGTGATCGACCTGGTCACTCAAGTAAGTGTTGTCTGTACGTACTGCATGTATGTGTGCAACCGTCTTCATTGTTAGTATGTGTTGAGTGTATCTACATGTGCATAGATGTAGCGGTACAGTTGGTGATACGACATCTACGATATAATTGTGTCATTTATGGTAATGAGATCAACTGATGAGTCAGGTATGACACGTATATGTTTGGTACACACGTGTATATACCGATGCTGAGAAGTTTGTATTTGCCGGGTACCATGCATGTCTTGTACCACTGACAGGTGACATTGCGTGAGCATGCACTTCCTTCGCTCCTCTCTCACTATATATATATATATATATATAATGCATGTATGTATGTATGTATGTATGCGTGTATGTATATATGTTTGAATGTATTTTTTACTTGTTTATCGATATGTATTTTGATTTTTTTTTATACTGCTCCCGAAATTCCTTCGAAACAGGACAATTCCAAAAGTATAAAAAAAGTCGATAACATTGAGCAAGATGACAACAATAGCGGATTGGCCCAATTGAAAGCAGACTTGAAGCGGGCAGAGTTGCTTTACTTCAAGTCATTAGAGGACAGTCCGTCTTGTCAGGTTTGTCTAAAACGCTAACACACGCATACACACACAAACACACACACACACACACCCATATAT